ATAGAAGAATGAAACTAGAGCCTTATCTTTCACCTTGCACAAAAGTCAACTCCAAATGAATCAAACACCTCAATGTGAAACTAGAAAACCTGAAACTATTAGAAGAAAACATCTTGCAATAACTTACAAGATATAGGTGTAGGAAAGGATTTTCTAAATTGGATAGAAATTGCTCAAGAATTAAGGTCAGCAATCAACAAGTGGGTCCTCATTAAACTAAAAAGCTTCTGTACAGCAAAAAAGAAACAATCAAAAAAGTGAAAAGAAAACTCACATAGGCTAAAGGCCTAAACAGAGTTCTCAAAGGAAGAAATAAAGATGACTAAGAAACATCTCAAAAACTGTTCAACATCATCAGCAATTAGGGAAAAGCTAATTTAAACCACCGTAAGGTATCACTTTATCCCAATCAGACTGGCTAGGATCCAGAGAACAAATGATATCAAATGCTGGCAAGGATGTAGAGAAAGAGGAATGCTCTTTCACTACTGGTGGGATTGTAAAGTTCTGAAGCCTCTATGGAAAACAGTGTGGAGAACTCTTGAAAAACTAAAAATGATTCGGGCATGGTGGCACACGCCTTTAATCCCAGCACTTGGGAGGCAGAGGCAGGTGGATCTCTGGAGTCCAAGACCAGCCTGGTCTACATACTGAGTTCCAGGACAGCTGGAGCTACAGGGAGACCCTGTGTCAAAAAGACAAAAAAAACCCCACTAAACTAAAAATGAATTTACCACATGACCCAGTTATACCACTCCTTGGCATATACCCAAAGGACTCATCTTATTGTAGAGACTCTTGTACAACCATGTTTGTTGCTGCTTTTTTCACAATAGGTAAGAGATGGAAGAAATCTAAGTGCCCCTCGACTGATGAGTGGTTAACAAAAATGTGGTATATTTACACACTGGAGTTCTAGTCAGCAGTAAAGAAAGATGAAATAATGAAATTTGCTGGTAAATGGAAGGATCTAGAAACTGTTATACTAAATAAAGTTACACCGACTCAGAAAAACAAACGACGTATATTCTCCCTCATTTATGGATCCTAGCACCAAATCCTTTTAAATTCCAGGTTTTTTAATAAGATGATGCTATATAGCTGTCCATTCTGCATGAAATAACTACCATCATCACGACTTCAGCTGAGGCTAATGGCTAAACATCGTCACAACTGGTCTTGTTGACAGTTCTGCTTGTTCATTAAAGGAGGGCCAAGCAGGGTCATTGGACCCTCACCAGATTATCAAGCCACTCTTCCCAGCCAAGTGAATGTAATTTGGCCCTAATCACACATGGCCTCCTGGATTTGGGAGGGCTAAAATATACAATCTGGGGAAGGCTAGGAAGAGAAGGCATGACCCATGCTGGGTAAAGGCTTTCCAATGTGCATACCCTCGGGTCATACATACACCTCAGCAACCCCTCAGTTATCTCAGTAACTAAGCTCAATAAATTCATTGGTTCCCCAGTAAAACTTTAATCAAACATTGGCTTGACACTAGAAGCTTAAAAAGGAATAAGCATTGCTTAGCATCCCCAGGAAAAGAAGTTTCACAACCAATGGAAAATTTACTTGTTAATGCTATTATGTATCACAATTATTTTTTAAAAAAAAGAAAATGAGAATGTAAAAGATGTTAAAAGGATATGGGAATGGAG